TGTTCTTTTGTTTGGCAGGGCGGCGTATTGCTGAGCTAGAAATGGAGAGCTTCCTCGGCAGACTCATAGAGAACTTCAAAGTGGAGTGGTTTGGACCACCTCTACAGTCCCGGTCGGCTTCATTAAACTACATGATCGGACCGTATAATTTCATATTCAAAGATGCTTAAATTATTGTTACGTTCAAATATTGTAAACATTTTTATGATTGCAAACTTTTTTATATTTACGACAATCAAATAATAAATGATTTTCAATGAGAATGATACTATTTTATTTCGTATCGATATGCGAAATTCATCTTGAATGCTTTATATCAAAAATATGTTATCTAATTATTGCTATTACATTGTCAAAGGAGCCCAAATAAGCTGTCGTTAACATTATCATACTATAAAAGATCATGATTCATATAACGACAGTAACTTATACATATTTGCTTAGTAAGTAGTATAACTTTTGCGTTAAAAGACGTGTACGTGAGACGTGAGGAGGTGAGCCTCTTTTTACCCGTCTGCGCAACGCAAAGGAGGGTAATGTGTTTATGAGTCTCTACATTGCCATATGGGAACAAAATGTATGGCATAACATATGGCATTGTAGAGACTAAACGGCTTGACCAATTTTGATTATTTATACGTCAATCAATTTGTCTTAACCTTGTGAGTATGATTAATAGTAACCAAAATTGTTTTTTTAGGGTACCTCCCTACATGTAAAATGGGGATGGTTATTTATTTTTCGATTCCCTATAGTGTGGGATATTGTTGGATAGGTCTTCAAAAATATTCGAAGTGTGCGAAGACTGTTTTTAGATATATAGTGAACCGTACTCACATAATTAAGCTTTTAAGTGCCAAGAACTACTTTGGATCGAGCTGTGGTGGACTTAAGCTCGCGAATTTTTGCTAAAAGTCAGGCATATGTCAAGCTTTGAGTTGAGTGAGATCTCAAGAGAGACTAATAAATTAGTAGTTTAGATAACCGCAATTTGCTTAATAATCCTCATGATATAAAATCGTTCAATGAAATCAGAAGGTTGCGAAATTTACCGTCATATAGTTCTAATAACGAAGTCAATGAGTCAATGAGAACTAACTAAAAAGTGTAAAATAAAAATATAATTATAAAAAAAACCCGACTGCGTGGAAATAAAAGAAAGAAGTGATAAAATAGTAATTACTTTCACTAAAAACTAAAAAGATTTTATTTTGTGTTATCTGACGTATTAAAACTATTGATCCTTCTATTCTGCTTTTGAATTTATGATAATTATGTTTTATGTGTGTATAGATTTTAAAACTATTCCAATGGGGCATTTATTCAGTAGCACTTAATAACATTCCAAACTACTGGGCTTGTTTTTGTCTTTTTAGTGAAAGCAATTATATATATTATTTCTTCTTTCTTTGGTTTTCACGCAGTTGGTTTTTTGTTTTTTATAATTATTGGTTGCACGTTGTTTATTTTTTTTTACAAAATTCCGTGAAGGAAGATGTACCGATCTATCAATAGTATCAACTTCATTATGATTAAGATTTTATTTTATATTTACGGTGGAATTATTATTATAATTAATTATGTATTGATATAATTGACTATTTAATATATTTGATTATGTATTGATATGTGAGATTCTACATTCATATTTTTTTTATCATAAAAATGTTAACTAATTATAACAACTCTTATAATATTTGTGCTCAAATACAACTATCAATATGTTCACATTAAAGAAACAAAATTAATTAAATAGTAATAACAATTACGAAATAAAATTACAAATACCGTTCAGCCCAAATAAGTTGTCGTTATAACACTTTTTTTACCCGACTGCGTGACGCAAAGGAGGGTAATGAGTTTATCAGTGTATGTATGTATGTTTGTTTCTATGTGGCGTTCTAGAGACCGAATGAGTAGGCTGATTTTGATGATACTTACGTCAATCGATGCGTCTTAACCTTGCAAGTGTCACTAAAGACATGACAGGAAATTCACACAATTCACCTTTTTTTTCAATTTTTTATAATTTTTTTTTTGAAGTAATAGTTTAGGATATATAACGATTTAAAGTTGTTTAACAAAACAATAATTCTCGCTAATTTTCTTTCTTATTGATTTAAGTTTTTATTTAAAGTATAAACGATATATAAACAAAAAAACAGTGAAAAGAGCATGAAAAACAAATATTTTTGGTAATAAAATAAAGCATACATAGCTTTGAGCCGAGTTAGGTCTCTAGAGGGACTAATCATCCTAGTTACTTAATAATCCCTACGATATTAACTCCCTCAATTATAACGAATTCAACGAATCGTAACTAAAAAGTATAAAATAAAAATAAATAATTTAAAGAAAAACAAAAAACCCGACTGTGTAAAAACGATTTAAAAAAAAACTGAAAAGTAAAACTTTTACACAGTCGAGTTTTTTATAGTAGTTTGGTTATTCGTAAGGACTGTGATATCAAAATTAAGCGACGTGCGTCAGGACCGGTCATAAGATAGGTGACCGAAAATATTTTAACTCGTAATCGTTCGTGATTTGGAGGGTTCGTTAAGCAGTTGGCCCCAACTGCATCTACAGTCTCGAATACCTGCCAATCTACACTGGGCCGGCATTCGTTGATTAGGGAAGAGAAATACAAATTTTATTTAGGGAAGAGAAATACAAATTTACATAAATTAATTTTAAAGCTTCATTATACATGGTCCACGTGTTGGGTAATGCTTTGGATTTCGCAATGCGCAATATTACTTGATGTTCATATAATGGTGCATAGCTCTTCGCGAAATACTTGGGATGGACGTGGCAGTAAGAGAGAATATTACGCAAAACTTGTAGGACATTTTGTCTTTAGGAAATATATGATTTACTACTCTGTGAATGATGTTTATCGCTTATCAAAAACTGTTTACTACTTGTGCTATCGCGGCTTTTACTATCGTACTAACTTGTAGTTATATGTTTTATTACAGCAGTAGCTATTCATTTACATACAGGTTAAAAAACTAATAAAAAACGTTACTTAAAGGTGATATGGTGTTCAAACGCCCAGCTGCACAAACGTCCATTAAGGTTTAATTACGATATATATATATATATATATATATATATATTCATACTACGAACTTTCAGTTTGACCCTCGTATATATATATATATATATATATATACGAGGGTCAAACTGAAAGTTCTTAGAAAATCAAAAACTGATTACATTAACCAGTTATTAGTTTTATTATATCTTTTCAAAATATTGTCCATTCACGTCAATACACCGCTGCATGCGATGGAACCACTGGGAAAAGCACTTTGCCCACTCGTCGTTAGGGGTCTCTTCAATGGCATCGCGATACGCAGCCACCGCTTCTTCAGCATTCATAAACCGCTTTCCTTTAAGTTTTTCTTTAATTTTTGGAAATAAATAAAAATCACACTTCACTTTAGTTGGCAACTCCTCGAAAGGAAACACCCACTGAGCAGATTGTCTTTTGGTTTTAGGATCATAACAGTAAATCCAGCTTTCGTCACCTGTTAGTATGTCGAACACAGCATTTGAGTCACCTCCGTTAAATCTTTCAATCATTTTACGACACCAATCCACACGATGGAGTTTTTGAGCCTCAGTCAAATTATGAGGTATCCACCGGGCGCAAAGCTTCCTGACCGCTAAATGTTCGTGGAGGATTTTGTGCACTTGACTCATACCGATGCCTAAGCTTGTCCGAATCTGTTGATAGGTCACTCTTTTGTCAGTCTCTATCATACGCCGCACAACACAGATGTTATCTTCAGTCGTCGCCGTAGAAGGCCGTCCCTCACGTAAATCATCAGTGAGATTAGTGCGACCACGTTTAAACTCATTAAACCAGTTGTAAACAGTCGCACGAGATGGGGCTTCATCGTGAAAGGCCAATCGTAGTCTATCATAACTTTCTTGTTGACTTAAATGACATCGAAAGTCATAAAAAATCATTGCACGAAAATTTTCTCGTGTTAAATTCATGATGACGTGACACAGACAATTTTCAATTTGCCGCCAAATCGTAAAACAAATGACAAATGAATGAAATATATACTCAGTAATATTGGCAAAGAGTTATATTTTCAAATTTTAGAATTATTTTTTTATTATATTGTTTATAAGTGGCCAGTTCTAAGAACTTTCAGTTTGACCCTCGTATATATATCGTAATTAAACCTTAATGGACGTTTGTGCAGCTGGGCGTTTGAACACCATATCACCTTTAAGTAACGTTTTTTATTAGTTTTTTAACAAAAACGTTACTTAAAGGTGATATGGTATTATATAAATATATATATATATATATAAATAAATATAAGATAACATCACATACATTGGCCAGATACCAAGACGAGTAGCTAAAGTCGCAATTCAAATGAAACACGAAGGATTTTTCTATATTGTCTCGGGTTTGGGTGTACCATAACACCCAGATTCAAGACGATATAGAAAAGTCTTTTTACTACATTGCTTCGACCGGTAATCAAACATGAAATCTCGGAGATGGCGCAATGTAAACGCATCCTAAATAATATAATTAATGTTAAATTTCACATCAATGTACTTAAAATACCCAACGCCAATAATGATTTTCATTTCATGAACTACTACTTAAAAAAAAATGCGCTATCCCAATATATCAATATTAGTGCAATATTATAAGAAATACCACGACACAAAAATATCTTTGCACCTTTAATGTGATTGCGTGAAATTATGTTATATTTTTACGAGGGTAGATGTGTAATTAATCACCTGTCGTTATGATGTTACGGTACAGTTGACTTATTATAATTGTCAGAAAATCAGTTAATCGCGGCTAACCAGTTATCTTTCGTGATCCTTTTAAGTCTAAATAATATTTTTGTCTACTTTTACTTAGTTTTGATGACTATGCAAGATAGCAGATAGATTAGGAAAGCTCACACTTAGGCCTGAATATATCTCTAATATATGTTAGCTCACAGATCATCATGCAACCGTCTAAGCTGAGGCAGTTTTATCAGCTGAATACACTCAGCAATATTATAGCGAGGTAAGAAAACCATTCCTTCTCTTTATTAAAGTGACTGATTACCATTCTACAATCTCATACGTATTGTGTGTCGTAGTAAGAGAAATTTCAAGCCTACGAAATGAATAAATTGCTTAGACATTTATACTGTTGTATTTAAAGCATTGTGTGAATGTTTATCTCGTTTTTTACTACATTGGTACTAGTGAAAACGATATGGGTATAAGAAGCTTTTTAAAATTGTTTTCTATATTTGCTATTGCAGTGTCAAACACAGCGATGTTGAAGTTTATATTTGATTGAAGGTTCAATCATATAGGGTAAACCAGAGAGTAATTGCCCACAGACAGTGATTGCCCGTTTTTAGAAAAAACAATCTGAATCAAAGGTTGTGTTCTCAATTGTTTCGAATATAATTTACTAGGTTATTCTATGGTCAATTTATAGTAGATTTTAAAATTGAAAAGTGGAAACATGAAGAAAAAAAAACAGTAATGGCGGATTTTGTCAAGACGGGTGAACGTGTTACTCAAACAGGTAAGCATTTTAGCAATTTTCTTAAGGAATTACTTGCTTAGAGATTCACTTTTTTTGCATTTTATTTGATATTTCATTATTGGTGTATGGTTATGACGAAATCATAAGTGTTATATTATGTTTTTAATGAAAATATTTGAAATCAGATTAGATTCAACGGTTTTTTAACGGTGGGCAATCGCTGTTCGTATTTCGGCATATTTTTAGTTATTACCCACCATAATTTTAGTGATTGCCATTGTTAATATCTATAGTTATTGCCCAGGGCAATCATTATCTGTAATTTTTTGATTAAGTAAGTAATGTTACCGTCTCATTTATTAGCTTAATGGCTTGCATACGCGCAATAATATTGTCAATATTTTTTTCACTATGTAATATTGTCAATATTTTTGCCACACACACGCAATTATATTGACAAAAAGCAGCATTACATATGAAGCAAAAAGAAAAAGAAAATCTGTTAAAAGTAAAAGAAGAGAAAAAGAAAAAGACTGAAAATGCAAACAAAAAGTCTAAAAAAAAGTTAGTGAGACTGTTAAATCTAAGGAAATAGATACGAGTTTAGAGGATAATAGCCAACAACTGATTGAACCTTTTGAGCAACAACTCGAACCGACACCAAAGAAGATAGAAAAAGAAATAGGCATAAAAAGTAAAGAAATGTCAGCAAATAAAAAGATAACTATTCTAAGTAATCTTTTAATACAACCTTCTTGTAGTAACATTCTGCCAAAGCCTACTTGTGGAGTTTGTCATTTCAACGTCATAAAAAATGAATTGACATGCAGTGCCTGTTCAAAAATCTTTCATGTGCGTTGCATCCCACCAAAACATAAGGAACATATACCAGACGTTCCGTCGTTCCGACCATCGTTGTTTTGAAGTAGATGATTCTAATTGTGACGATTCTGACACATCAACATCAGCGAAAGAAATGATTGATATGGTTAATAAAGCCAAACGCAATTTATTTTAAGATTTTGTAGTAGATTTAAGTTTAACGTTTTGTTTTGATTGTTTTATTAAAGTTCAAAGTCTAGTTTATCATTTTAAGGTACTGGGCAATTACTGTGCTGTGATGTGGGCAATTAGTGTAAGCAATGGGCAATAACTGTACACTTTTAGGTAATTTTAAATTTGTTTAATTATTTTCTAAGCCATGTAAGTTTTGACTAAAAACCGTTAACACTTTGATGGGGATTTTATTTAGATATAAGAAAAAAATAATAAATGGTTGAAAGTTATAATACTTTTTTTATTGTTTGAAGCCAAATTGTTTGAAGTCCTTAAGTGGGCAATAGCTATACGGTTTACCCTATAACCTTTTCATGTAATTGTTACCTACGTGATATTGGCAGAATTGTAGTTGACACAAAGCAGCCATTGCATTTGAAAATAAAATGTTTATATTCGGCCACTTTTTTAAGATGTTTATTACCTTTCGAGTTAGTTTTATTTCATTGGACCTCTAATGCTACTGCGGCAGCGTTGTGTTCTTTGGTGCGTTCGTATCTGTAATGGAATTGAACTATTGCAAATAAAAATGGTAATATTTAACTTAAACTGTAACTTTGTATAATCGCTGGTAAACACGTAATCAAGACAATTTTTAACTTTAAGTTATTAAATAAGTGTAAACACACAAATTAATAATAAGTAGCAAGTTAAAATTTAAATCTAATTAGGCTCTTAAGTAGTTAACTTATTTTGTGTGTTTAGACGTACTTAGTCACAAAATTAAGTTAAAAATCTACTTGTCTTCTTAATCACGTGTAAACTATTGTGTAAACCAGCTATAAGAGATAAAATAATTATTTATATATCTTATTTCAAATAGTTTTAACATTGAAACTATACATTTTTATTTACACATATATTTTTTTAATAAATACAAAAAATAATCAGTATTAGTCAAAATCAAAATAAAAAAAATATATATCATTATTTCTCATTTGCTTATTTTATTACAGAACATTCACTTCAGATACATCCAACACAGATAGGAGACAACTCAAATCATGGAAGCAAATACCTGGACCTTCTTTGTGGGATTTAATGAAAGAAGGAATACCGGGAGTTAAAGGTGAAGATACCTATGATCAAACACGTTAACAACTTCGCAATTAAGCTTCTTATTGTGAAAATTCGTTTATTAAGTTTTCTTAATCAATAAGCTTACGTAGAATTTTGATTATTTATTTCTTTGTTTGTATCGCATAGGCTCCAAAACTACTGGACTGATTTTGTAAATTCCTTCATCTACGAGAAATCTACATTATACGCGTTTGACATAAGTTATAATTTACGATGGCAAAGTCGCGGGAAAACGGCTATTTATATGATAATCTATTCCCACCTTAAAATGTAACATGTTTTTATAAGCAGATTTATTACGAATTTTTTAGAAGAATTAAATTTCAACGATGGACTGAAATTTGGATTGAATTTATACAAAAAATATGGGCCGATCGTGAAAGTAGATGGATGTTTAGGAAGACCGCCAGTTATAGCTTTGTATGATCCTGACTATTGTTCACAGGTGAGTATGCTGGAATATTAGAGTATCAGTTATTTATCAAATGTTTTATTTTATGTTGTATGTGAGAGTTTTATTAGCAAGCTTACGTCACAGGCAATATTTTTGCCTATTGACTATTCGAAATTTTTGCCCCGAATCTGGATTAGGCTAAAATAATAGAGCATCATAATTATGTATCAAATGTTTAACTGAATAGTTACTATCTATAATGTTTACTCTATAGACATCCTTATTACAAGGTTTTCTTTAAATTACGTGTTTGTTAGTGTGTAATCTTGTTACTTTTCGCTTTTCGATGGAACTGAAATTTTACATGCATACATAATTTAACTGTAACTAAACGAAGGACCTATCGAGTTCGTACTTGTTTGATTTGTCTTAACGAAGAACTTAAGTCTGATTTATTCTAGATTTTGTCGAGTTTGGACTCGTTTTATTTTTGATACAAGGTCTCTCGTCCAAGATAATATACAACACAAGTTTATTTTTTAAAAGAAACTTTAAGTATTATGAAGTTTTCAGTCCTTCCCATTTAATGTCTCTGACATGTAATTCGTGAATGAATTATTTTCAGATTTTACATTCTGAAAATTGGATGCCAATTCGTAGAGGTTTTGATTCATTGGAGTATTATAGAAAATTTAAGCGCCACAAAAGTAAAGAAAATCAAATTAAGTCGAACGTGTATGGTTTAATAACAGAGTAAGCAATATTCAATTGATTACTTAAATATTTCATAATCTTGAAAATGTCCATGATCCATTAATACATTTTGAACAAAGTCATGTCCATGATGACTATGTAGAAATGTAACGTATCATGCGCTATTTCATCTCAATGTATCGCTGTAATATTTTAATAATATATATATTTTTTTAATAATAATATGTTACAGTCATGGTGAAAGTTGGAAGCAATTTCGATCTACCGTCAACCCAGTACTTTTGCAGCCAAAAACTATTAAACTTTACACCGCTTCAATAGACGAAGTAGCACTGGATATGATCGCTAGGTAATTTAAATAATCATATTTATACTAATAATAAAGCTGAAGAGTTTGTTTGTTTGTTTGATTGAACCCTAAAATCTCAGAAACTACTGGAACGAATTGAATTATTGTTTTTGTGTTGAATATTCCACTTATCGAGGAAAGCTATAGGATATATAACATCACAGTATAACTTAAAGGAGTGGAGCAGCAGCAAAAATGTTATAAAAATAGGAGAAAGCTTTTTTAAAGCATTCCATGCGCTGAATAAATGGTGAAAGTATAAAAAACATATAGTATAGAGATATTCAACTATTGAAGTAAGTATTTTTATGCTTTGAGCATCCATAAAATGACATAAAAATTTCAGACTGAAATCTCTTCGTGGAGAGAACAATATGATTCAGAGTGACTTCGCTATGGAAATGAACCTATGGTCACTGGAGTCGATAGCCCTAGTCGCTCTGGGTCGCCGACTCAGATGTTTTGACTCACATCTGCCATCCAACTCGCCTGAGAAGAGGCTCATCCGTTTAGTTCATGAGATTTTTACGGTGGCTAATAATTTAGACTTCAAACCAAGCTTCTGGAGATACTTTCCGACAACAACTTATATGAGAGCCATGAAACTTTACGAAGAACACGAAAGGTTAGTTCTTTTATTAGTTTTTTGTGTGTGCGGGAAATTCATTATGCACTACCTGTCGTCAGGCAAGTGACAGGAGTGCGTGAGATTCTCCTCTGTGAACCCACACGGCGACTTTGCCATTAAATGGGTACCCAGAGGCATACCCACGAAAACTCCCACGGTGTACTCTCTTCCTCTACTCAACCCACTCAACCCAACCCAGGAAAACTGTGTTCAAGTCGCCAGGATTCTGGTGTACCTGAGCCTTTCCCAAACTCACGAGGGACACGCAATGCAGGCGTGGATACCAACCTCCGCTGACTCCAAAAGATTTTAGATTACCTAATTTATGAAATAAAATTCATTTAAAAACTCAAATCAAATCAAATCAAAATTTATTTATTCAGTTTAGGCTTTTACAGAGCACTTGTGAAATTCGAAAACTACGCCATCGGTTCGTAAAACTACGGCGGGAGACCTTGTACTGAGAAAAACCGGCAAGAAACTCAGCAAGGGCTGTTTTTTTCTCCCTGTTTTATTTCACACAGAGAAGTCTTATTGAAAAGTGACTGATAGATAGCTCTTATTAAAAAACTAATAATCATACTAAACGGTTCTTCATATTGTTGTATTACAGATTAGCATGTTATTTTATAAATAAAACGATTGAAGAATTCCAGAAAGAGAATAAGAGAAAATTGGATGATAATAAAAGTGTTTTAGAAAAGTTACTTGAAATAAATAAAGACATAGCGGTCGTAATGGCTAGCGATTTGCTTCTTGCTGGTGTTGACACGGTACGATTTATACTATTTTATTTAGAAATACTTTATGTAACAAGTACATATTTATAAGAATAAATAATTATAAAATTGATAATAAGTATTTTTATGAAATAAAGGAATAAATATTAAAGAACATCACGTACAGATACTCAAATGCATAAAAGAAATCCGAACCAACGAAGGCACAAACTACAGGCCAACATTAAAAGTTAATTTTCTATAATAACATGATTGAAAATCAAACTTTCCTGGTTTGAAACATTCATAATTTTCAATTGCAAGCAAAAATATTTTATCTGAATTACTACGGAGATATCATGGTTATTCCATTAGTTTATTATATATGATATTCAATCAATGGCAATTCTTTTTTTATAGACTGCTAACACAATAACGGCAATTCTTTTTTTGCTGGCAACTAATCAAGAGAAACAGGACAAACTTAGAGAAGAAATACGGACTATAAAAGATCCAAACCAACGGTACTACTTGAGAGCATGTATTAAAGAATCTTTAAGAATGATGCCTGTGGTATCTGGGAATATAAGAGATACTACGAAGGAATATAATGTACTCGGTTACTCAATACCTGAAGGGGTGAGTATACTTTATATTTTTTTTTGCAATGCTATAATTATATTTGATAAATGTTGCATTTGCAAACTTAACGAAAATTAAGTAAAAAGCAATATCAATCCAGAAAGCGAAAGTAAGGATCGACTCCCATGATAGCCCCCTGGAACTCTCATAACTTAAATAGTTAGTGTTATTTTAAATTGTTGCATAGGTAGCTGAAAAATATTAAAATGTACATTTATTTTGATATCTTCAGATAATCATATCATTTATGCACCAAGCTATGTCCATGATGGACGAACACTTCCCTCGAGCGTCAGAATATTTACCAGAACGGTGGCTAGCCAATAAAGAAGATCCTATGTATTATCGAAATGCTCATCCATTCGTTTATCAACCTTTTGGCTTCGGAGTTAGAAGTTGTATAGGTAAAAATATTTTTTATTTTTTCAATATAAAGGTCATAGACAACCAATCTATTGATATCTGCTTGCAGAATATTCGAATTGTAGACTTTTTTTTACTTTTTAGTCATTTAGTTTAGCCATTATTAACTTTAGAACTGAAATTTTTGTGATTCTTTTGATATTTTTAATCCTTTGGCGTTATTAGATTAAAAGCGATGTTATTTTATATGATCTGATGATATAAAAATAAAATAAAGAGAATATAATGATTTCTTTTTGTCTGGCAGGACGACGTATCGCGGAGCTGGAGTTGGATATCTTTCTGGTCAGGCTTATTGAGAATTTTAAGGTGGAGTGGTTCGGACCACCGCTTAAGTCCAAGTCTGCTTCAATGAACTACATGATAGGACCACACAATTTTATATTTAAGGATGCCTGAATTATAGCACGTTAATTTAATAACCCAGTCAAATTAGCACAAAAAGTCAATTTGAAATATATTTATTATAATGACTTATAAATATCTCATTATCTGATTAATTTTATTACCAGATTGACATTTATATATTCACATAATATACGATTATTTTGACTAATTTAATAATACCAAAACCTTATAATTATTTAATTTTAATCTTATTATATAGTGTTACGAATCATGGAATAATGGGATCAATTTTATTTTATTTTGTATTGTAATTATTGAAACTATAATATATAGTAGTATATATAGTTCACAATTAATTAAATTAATTGAATCATAGAATAAGAGTAAAAAAGCTGAAAACCTTACTAGACTTTCGTTGACGTTTTGAAAAACTTATAAAACCTTTTGTCTGCGTCGTGGGTTATTCGATGTCTTTCACGATTCTCTGTTTTAATTTCTAAAACAAAACTATCGCCTGTTATGAAATTACAGGCAATCAAATCTGCGACAAATTTCGTTCTGAATATTTTTGTGTGCTTAACCGTTTTTGAGTTAGGGTGTTGAAAACGCGTAACACAACAGTGACGCTCTGTGAATAATGCCTTGTAAAATGCCTGTAATTAAAGAGTTTGAAGTAATAAATACTTCAGCGACTCGTTTTAACTACGTTAAGAAACATTTATTAACAAATTTATTTAAGGTATTGTTTACCGAGATTCAATGTTGAACTTTCAATATATTTTGTATTTTAAGAATGAGTATTATCTCAAAATAATGTTTAGTTGAGTGCATGAAAAATGTTTGGAAGAAAATTTGTAACAAATTTATTAATAATAAAAAATAGCATAATTGGAATGATACAAAACGAGTTTAACCCGAAAAAATGGTTTTTTCACCTTGAATAATTAACTTTTGACGCAGATACGAGATTGAATGAGAGTTTACACAATTTAAAAAACGCAAAATAAAACTTCATGGAAGTATTTAGCTTACTATCTCTCATTTATAGGTAAAACGCCAATTTGACTGGGTTTTAAAAAAATAATAAAGGTACATATAAACATTCTACGATTTTCATAACATTAAAAATATGTATGTGACCGGTGTTTTTCCATTTTAGTCCTTCCTCTTCCTATTTTTCCTTCTTTGGTGTTTTTAATAAGCTATCGCACCACAACAAGTATCCTGTCATCAATCAGTTACAGTTACTACATCGACAAAAGTATCACTCTTAAATGTATATAGTAGTAATCGTGTTCTGTTTGCTTTATATAGATAATGCCGGAGTGTTTTCCGAAAATCTATCTGCTCTTCAAATACTAGTTATATTGATATAAGGTGGTTGTATAATGAAAATTATCAAGATTCAAATTATATACGAAGAAAGCTGAGATAATCTTATTTAAAACTATATTTAATTAATAAGATAAACTAAGTGATTAGTGCGAGTAGCTAAAATATATATAATGATCTTGGTTGGTTGCTCTTCTTAACTAGTCTATTGTTCAAAGTCACGCCTTAAGGCGCCGTCCTATGGAAAATGATGTAATAAAGGAATTACATTAAACCACCTTTTTAGGAATATCGCGCTTGACGCACATTACATTTTTTTTTTTATACATCTTAAGAGTAAAAATAATAATTTACCAATAAGTTGCCTCGCTAAATAACTATGTATAGCTCTCCTTTTGCTTTGCCGTAGTCGACTTGTAATGTTCGTATACAAAATTGCTTTTGTAACAATATCTCATAAGGTCACGCAGCTAGTATTGGAAAACATCCGCGCTTGACTGCCATACTTATCTAGACTATTGTTTTACGCCTGCTGATACCTCCGGACCAGGTTGCAATCTACACCAGTCTAACAACTGCTCTGGTGAATGCAGGCCAGTTTTCTATGTCGAGTGTCATAGCTAAAATATGTTAATAGTCTGTATTAAAACGGCCGATTTAAAGGAAAGTTAAAGAAAATATTCGATCAAGAGTTGCAGATTTAGCAAACAGTACTTAATAATCAATTATTAGAAGGATTTATTTTTATTTGCAGTAAAAAAATACAAGGTAAATATTAAAATACATATCCGTTAAGTAAGAGGTGGAGAGATACGTAGTGGATAAGCGCCGTGGCATTATTAAGCAATTTTTACAACGATGGGTGACTAAAAATGTATATTTTCGTTATATTTTTCGAGCTCCTTTGTGTTTCGGAAGGCACGTTAAGCCGTTGATCCTGGCTGCATTTGCAGTCAGATCGGCATTGGGCCAGCGTGGAGAATCATGGCCCATCCTCGTTTACCCTCTATAAGGAAAGCCTGAGCCCCTGAAGGGACGTAAAGGGACTGAATGATCAATACCAGTCAAAACAAAATGATAACCCTCTTTTTGCTTCGCTGTATTTAGGAAAAAAGTAAATATAATTTTAAAAGTAATAGGACTCTTAACTTTTAAATTGTTTCTGACAGTTTTATATAACTTGTATTCAACACGCGCATGACAGTAATTTGAATTAACGTCACTTCTTTGAGCAGCATTTCTAACGAATATTTATTCATTATATCATGTAAAATACCTGATATAAAGTTTCATCCCCTATTTTATCCCCTTAGGGGTGGAATTTATCAAAATCCTCACTTAGGGGATGCCTACGTCATAGTAGCTTTATGCATGCAAAGTCTCAGCCCGATCAGTTTAAAATTGACAAAGTTTCATACAAACTTTCATCCCCTATTTTATCTCTTTGGGGGTAGAATTAATCATAATCCTTTCTTAACGGATGCCTACGTCATAACATCTACCTGCATGCCAAATTTCAACCCGATCCGTCCAGTGGTTTGGGCTGTGCGTTGATAGATCACTATGTCAGTCAGTCATCTTTGAGTTATATACATATATATAGATAGATAAGACGTCAAGCTGAACCTACCATCGATGGGTCAAAGAGTTTACTGTAAAGCTGGAATATCATGCCGCATTTCTAATAACTTGGCGTTTTTTGCAGAAATCTGGTTCGATTCATATTAATCTTTAGTGTAAAACCAAAGTTAATATGAACGTTAAAAATCTTTTATTCACCATTATACACTATGTATATTGTACATCATCATAACTTTTAATATTAATTGATAAAATCAAATCAAATAGTTCTTATCCAACCTCTTTAAGGAATTTTGAAGACTAAGTGAGCTGGCTAGTTAGAAGATCGATGTAAAGATTTTCATGTTATCCATAAAAAAAGGAAATTTGAAGATCTGCAACACTGCTTGACGTTGATTTGCAAATGGAAGCGGTGCGAGCAAAGCTCTTAACGGTAAACCGCTGGAGACAGATAAGCCATTGATCCTGTATTCGTATCGATATAATGCATTGGGATAATTTAAATATTTAAGCTTGATAACAATATCAACAACTTGAACGATGTCATAAAAACATTTAATTAATATTATTATAATAAAACCCAATGTTTGAAAAATATACATTGTGTAGAAATTATTAAGACGAGAATAACACAATACAAAGCGAAACTGGTAATCAGGTGAGATTCAAGGTCTCGAGCAGATAAGCAACCCGAAGAAATATACATAGATGTAAAGCTTATTAAAAACTTTAACCGACCGTATGAAAACCACTGTATGCGATTAAAACCACTTGTGTTGTACAACTGTGTTCTATAGTAATATATTATTTTTAGTTCTGTCATGACATTTATTACATCAGTTCAAACTCTTTTTTTATCTCTTACATATACTTGCAGTAAGTGCCGACAACCCAATCATGACCTAAATAAAACGTTTATTCTATCGACTCCAAAGAATCACATCGATCAAATTTGGAATTATAATTTTTATGAAAAACAAACAAGTAATTGAATATTAAAAGGTTGGGGAAAAAAATCTTTTCGCTTATAGTATGCATAAACTTGTAATAAACTATTTCTGGCTATGCCTTTTGTATCTGGCTGGTATGGTTATCATTAAAAAGTTTGAATTTTAAAGAAAATTACTCCGAATTCAGATTAGGAAAATGTGTGATTTTTATTTGTTTTCTTACTGTCAAAATAAGTGAATCTACTGAAGAAATTCAATACATTTTAAAAAATTTATTACAATAAAGGTGAAAATGCAACGCAAGCCTCGAAAAACAATTGTGACGTTTATGGACCTAGTGCAGTTTCTGTGAGAGTATCACTGGTGATTGGCCACAAATAGTTTTGGCGCATTTGAAAAAAGCTGGGTACACCAAAAAGTTGCATATTTTGGTACCTCATGAGCTCACTGAAAGAAACCTAATAAACCGTGTACTAATTTGTGATTATTTATTACGGCGTAATGAAACCGAACTATTTTTGAAGAAACTGATAACCGGTGATGAAAAATGGATCACGTACGACAAGCTCGTGCTAAAAAAGTCGTGGTCAAAGATGGATCAGGCTTCACAGACTATGGCGAAACCCGGGTTAGCTCGCAAGGTAATACTGTGTTTGTGGTAGGATTGGAAGGCCATTATTCATTATGAGTTGTTACCGCCAAGCAGGAAGCTACTGCGAATAATTGATGAGATTAAAGCAAGAAGTTGAGAGAAAGCGGCCAGAATTAATTAATAGAAGTGGTGTGGTTTTTCATCATGATAACGCTAGCGATGTGAGGATCTCACATCATTTTACCATTCAGCAAAAATTAATAGAGTTTGGCTTGGAGGTGTTAATGCATCCGCCGTATAATCCTGATCTTGCACCTTCAGATTTCCACCTGTTTTGGTTTCTTTAGAATTCTTTAGGCAGTGTCAGGTTAACATCACGTAAGAATTGTCAAAACTACTTGTCACGATTTTTTGATCAGAAGCCCCAAAATTTCTATATCATTGTTATCATGTCTCTACTTACAAAATGGCAAGAAGTTATCGAACAAATCGCTATCTACATACTTTAGTTCTATGTAAATAAACTTTATTAAAAAATGATTTGAATTTTCATATAAAATGCCAAAAATCTTTCTCCCCAACCTATAATAATGAATGATGTATAAAATCAACTGCATTATAATATATTGAGTGTAGAGGTAAAAATTAAAATCAATCAATATGTCAAATTTCTGCAATAGCTTTTTACCAATTGACAATTCATTATATGAATAATTGAATATTTAGGTATATTACTTACAAAAAAATTAACCTATAAATAAGAGCAGGGTTTAAAATTAAAGCAAAGATAATGATGTCGACGGTGCGCATAGTTAAAAGTTACATTTAATAACCGCTCAAATTTTAGAGAAACTGCTTTTGAAAAATGTCATGACAAAAGAAGTTAGATTTTTATTAAAAAAAAAACTAAATGAACAGACAGGAGTTTATAGTTCTATTGTAATCAAACACTATATTCTCACATCGCATAATTATATTTCAGAAAAGTCAGGCAAGGCACGTTCTTTTATAATCATAGGATGAAAATAACTTTGTCATATTATTAATATTTATATCGTCAATCACATAACATCATGCAAACGTCTAGATGGAAAAACGTCTACCATTTGGCTGCCATTAATAACATAAGGTAATTTTGCATTATTAATTAATCCTTTAATATCCAATTGTATTTCTTCTTATTTGCAAATTTAAGAAATTATTATGTTTACTATTAAAAATTCGTCGGACGTTACAGAACAGCATCGGTGGACACAACTATTATGAATTCTGCTCATCAATTGAAGGAATTTAAAAATATTCCTGGGCCGCCTCGTCTCCCCATACTAGGTCAAACATACCATTTTCTCCCTGGAGGTGAGTAATCACAACTGCTGTGGCGCAGGACTTCCGTGTAGATGAAATCAAAACAAATCGAATAGGGAGAATGGGCGATATCCCATCACGAGGGCTCAGAGCGGATTGGTGGGTGTTAATGAATGCTTATGCAGCCGGGACCAACGGTTTAACGTGGCTTCGTAGTACGAAGGGACTCAAAATAATAAATTTTTGGCCACCATCTTATTCCTCGCGGAAATTTCTTAACAACCGTGTCGCAGATGACCTCACTAACCACTGTGTCACCGAGCTCTTCAATAACAACTCAATAATAAATTATGAACCCCAATTCTTCACTATAATCTATTATTTACATGACTTTGCATTTCCGGCCTCAGAATTTTGGAAAACGTAACGTGCGACCTCTTGTTTGTTTTGATCATGATACGGTGAACGGTGTTGGTGTACAATTATATATCATGTGTTTGATTTTGTAACATCAATATAAATTGTATCACTGTTACCCCCAAAAACAAATAATATAAAAGTATCCATAAAATTAAGCTTAAATACTAATAGCTTTTGAGACATTTTATAATTCCGTTATTCCATTTCATTACTCTGTTTCACAATCGAATGATAATTTAAATTAATTTCCTTGTTATTAGGGGAGTTGTATGGCCTCAACTTCCTGCAGCTAGGTGAACATCTTCGTAACAAATATGGACCAATTGTTAGATTTGATGAATTGTGGGGCAAGCCTCTGACTTTATTTTTATTTGACGCAGAACAATCTGCACAAGTAAGTGAAAAGTACTAAATTAATAGTATAATTTGTTGATATATTTTATTTTTAAGATTTTAAAAACTACCACTAAGTTTGACTTATATGGTGGTGAAGAAGATCAAGATCCCTTTTTTTGCATATATTCGAGGGAGAACGGGCCATGACCCCCGTGTGTGGGTTCACAGCCCGTACTTGCTATTCAATTTGATTAGATTCTATCCATGGGGAAGGCCTTAGTCCCAGAAGTAGGGACACTATTAGGTTTTTGACGATGATAATATTCGACTACTTCATAAAACTAACATGCTTTCACAGATACTTCGTTCGGAAAATTTGATTCCCGTTAGACATGGATTCGCCTCACTAAAATACTACAGGGAAGAATATAAGACACCCAACAAAATCACATCTGAATCAAACTTTCATGGATTACTCACGGAGTGAGTTACATTTTACGCCTTCCTAAAAAGCATTATCCATATGTAGGTGTGTTTAAATTAAAATATGTAAAGTTAGATAGTCTGGCAATAAATATTGTTAGAATTTAAAATAAACAAAATATTACCTATGAATTTCGAAACTGTCATTTTTATTTGATTTTTCATTGTATTTTCTTATTTCGTGCCAATGCATTATAAAATATTTTGTAACATACTATAAAGAGAACTGCATCGCTGTGACTGCATTATAGTCCAACACAATTTTCAAAACCCTCCATACGCTTGATTATTTGTCAACTAGTTATGTACTGGACTATTGATATTACGATATTACAATAAAACCTCCTCTATTTGTGATAGAAAAAGATCTGGCCGTGCATGTAGTACGAAGAAGGAAAAAGTATAAGAAATCTTATCCGAAAGCAAAAACAATATCTCGGTCGACGAAGATAGCACCTAGAACCATGCCGCGTAAAGTAAAAGATGAGTTAGGACTTGTGGCCTATGAGAAAAACATTGGTCAATTCTTAACAGATAATTAAAAAAGAATAGGGTGGTAAATAGTTACCATATAAAAAATATTATTTAAACTTGATAGAACTAGATTGTTAGAAATGGTACCATATTTACTATCCTTTATGTAGTGCGTGTCTAATAAATACTTAATAATTTATTACCTCGTATATCTGTATATAATAATTACATTTATGTTCGTGCATTGTAGAGCCAGTGATATTAAACTGAAACAGCAGTCATTACCCTTTTTTATTATTACAGTAGCGGCGAAATCTGGAAAAACTTGCGATCGACCGTTAATCCTGTACTGCTGCAGCCGAAGACCACCAAACTTTACTCCACTATGCTAGACGAAGTAGCACAGGATATGATTGTCAGGTTTTTTCTATTTGATTGTATCTCACAATGTTTAAAGTGCAGTCCTTGGACTTATGACCAAACATTACTTGTGCGCAATCTTCCTTAGAAAGGTTGGCAAGTTAAATCTTGGAAAAGAACATTTACTGGATTTGATTTGATGACATTTAACACCAAATTCACATACCACTAGACAAATAATAAGTCAGAAGTAAGGAGTTTTGAATTATCGATGCCTTGTTTTCCGACGAATAAATCTTATGTGTTTTGTTTTGCATTAGTGAAAATTAAATAGCTTTATTTACACATATTAGTACGAGAATAAATTTCACAATCAATGCATCATCCAACAGACATGTCTGAATATGAAAGATCTGAAAATATAAGGTAGTTAAAGACTCCACGGGCGGCAAGATAGCAAAAAGCTGTAACAAGTCGTCCTGGCATTCCTCCTCTATCAATAACTACAAAGTTGCTTTGAGTAGATTGGTTGCTAATATTATAGCTTATCTAGCAGATTTAAACCTATACTCGTCATTTGATTCTCTTCAGTAAATAGTAAAACAAGTCAATGGTGGTCTCATTTTTTAGTCGATAAATTTCTGCATGAAATATACCTATAAACATAATTTTATCTAACAATTATCTTGGTCATAAGTGCTAATTTTATTTATGTTAGTGAAACTGAGAAACATTTTAAGTCTTTAAAAGTTTAACCATAATACATGTTTTAAGGTTGTATGTTTACTAAAATTATAGTTGGCTAAACAAATTATTGTTTCGTTCAGGGTTCTTTGAATGCGCTTCTACATAAAGGACCCAAGCAAACAATTAGATATAGATCAGATAATCTGCTATTTCAAATACTTAAAAAATATATGTTATTATAATATATTTGATAAAAGTAACTAACTATAACAGATAAGAGTGCAAGCATTCTTATATTCTTATTTGACTTAAGATATTTCCGCTTTCTCTTTATATACTCAAAATTATCGTATTGTGTATTATGTTATTGTTAATAAATATATATGATAACATTATATTCTAATGTGAAGTGACTTCATATATTAAAATGTATTGATCTGGTTATGACATAGTTTTTGTGAATGTCGTTACTTCCGTTAGAGCTGGTGAGTTTCTTGCTCTATCTTCCTAAAGAAGACGTCCTGTACGAGTGGCAGGAAAAAAAGTTCTTGAAACAAATTCATTTGAAAAAACCTATTTTGACTGTGAGTTAGTTCGATAGTCATGTTTTTGTATTTATTATTTCAGGTTAAAGTCTTTACGTGGGTACGATAACAGGATCCAGGGTGACTTTGACATGGAAATGAACCTGTGGGCATTGGAGTCGATAGCTTTAGTCGCTCTAGGACGACGACTACGATGTTTCGATTCACACCTGCCACCAAACTCTCCTGAGAAGAGACTCATTAAAGTAGTTCAAGATATTTTTAAATCATTTTATATGTTAGATTTCAAGCCCAGCCTGTGGAAATATTATCCGACAAAAACCTTTAAACGTGCCATGAAGTTATATGAAGAACAAGAAATGTAAGATACTATCGTAGTTGCTTATGCTTCTGAAGATTTTTCGTCGAAAATCTTTTTTCTTTTTTCCTGGATAAATATTTCTGTTTAGCAATAACGGCGCCTTTTGTTTACTCCTTCACTTTTCAATGTGCTACTTTTTACTATAGAAAACTGTGTGGTTTTCAGTGCAGTAAGACGTTTTTTATTATCATTATTATATCAACTTGATATATATAGGAATTAAATAGTATCTATTGACACTATCAAAGACCCTTGAGTTATTCTTTTACCATAACATTATATTCATGAAAATCGAAATTGGAGATTTATTTACGCATGACTGTAAAACATAACTTACTTGTGTGATCCACAAACAGTATTTACTCAAATTATGATTAAGTTTAAATATCGGCATTTCTTAAATTATATGATTATCTAAAGGTTATTAATTTACTACATTTAATTTAAGTGATATTTGTTTTTAGTTTAGCAAGATATTTCATTGATAAGTCTATCGAAGAGCTAGAGAATCATAAAGAAATAACCCATGACGACCAAAAAAGTATCCTTGTGAAATTACTAGATATAAATAAAGACGTAGCTGTTGTAATGGCAAGTGATGCTCTTTTCGCCGGTGTCGATACGGTAATGTCAGCTTTCATACGGTTTTGAGCGATCGAACGTGTTGTTATGTCCTTAAATATTTAAAGAAACCTTCATTAATTAACAGACATCGAACTTGATAATAGCCACGCTTTACCTACTAGCCAATAATCAAGACAAACAAGACATACTCAGGGAAGAAATACGATCTTCTGGCGATCAGGGTGAGAAACAGCAGTATCTGGAAGCATGCCTGAAAGAATCGATGAGGATTTTGTCTGTAACAGCTGGGAATACAAGGGTTACAACAAAAGAATATGACATCTTTAACTACAAAGTACCCATTGGCGTAAGTACAAATAAATAGGTTGGGAATCTTCCGAAAATTCCAAATTACTATTTCTTAGTAAATTTTGAATTGCAACGTGATTGAATAATGGGCACTCTGAATACTCATTCGTTTCTTAGGTTGCAGTTAATTTTATGCATCACAATATGGCTTTGATGGAAGAGAATTATCCTAGGCCAAAAGAATTCTTACCAGAGAGATGGCTCGTCAAGAAAGAGAGTCCGTTGTATCATGGGAACGCACATCCATTCGCATATCAGCCTTTTGGGTTCGGAGTACGAAGCTGTCTTGGTAAAGTTTATAGATGAAGTGTATCTATAATAGTTGTTATTTTATAACATTTTTATTCTTTCCTTCCCCTTACTTTATAAATTATTTCTTACTACATAAGTAATACATAAATACTTTAGCTTTTCGAGTTATATTTTAATAATATTAATTTTGTATTGCTATTATTATCGTTCAATTCTAGATATGAGATTCAATACAATAATTGGTAAAAACTATTTACATCAAAAACTTGGGACTTATTGAATAAAAACACAACTGAAACTATCGGGAATTATTTTCAAATTATGAAGTTGATTGTCTGTGATTGCAATCAATTAATTTTTTTTTCCAGTTTCATTGCGGTGCTAAAATAGTATATCTATGATTTGAGTTTGATTTTAGGACGTCGTATTGCAAAATTAGAACTGGAGACTTTCTTAAGAAAACTGATTGATAATTTTAAAGTCGAATGGTTTGGTCCCCCAGTCACCGTGAGATCTGCCGCCTTAAATTACGTCAATGGTCCGTATAATTTTATTTTCAAGAATGCATAACGTATCAAAAATAAGAGCAAACAAATGTAGAATAAAGCACATAAATAGTAGAGAATGGAAATATTTTAAAGTAAGGTGAGTTTTATATGCCAATATCTTATTTTAATATTTTTAATTATACATTTTAAATATAGAAAATAATGAAATATTATTACAATGATTTAACTAAGCTAACCATGCGTTACAATCTAAACTAAATGTATGAAACATTTCAGCTTAATTGATTAACGATGACGACTATAAAATTCGGTTTGGCTACCATACAATATATACACTATAAGTAAAATATAAGCTCATAAAAAGGTATAGCAATCCAATACACATCAAGATTATTAAGTGTTGGAGTACCACGATTCTGGCGTTGGCAAATCGGACAATCTTCTGTGTACCCAGTGAATTGATTAAATTGAATGAAGGGATAGAGAGGCGAGATTGGCAGACGCTCGGCTCCCCTCTCAAAGTAATTTAGATATCAAAAGACTATTAACTTGTGAACAATACTAGTACATGACTATCACGAAGTAAAGTACTTATTATTTGATAACTGATAAATTCACGTTCTTTTTAAATAGAATACATAACTGTTCGACGAAATTTTATTCAAAATCATTATGTCATTATTAGTGCTTCAAGAGTAGTCTAGAATAACCAAATTTATAATGTCTAGCAATTACAGTCTTGAATTCTTTAAAAAACACTGGAATATTTTTATAAAAGCATAGAGGTTATAAACATCGAGTTCGTTACATTTAAAATACATTAATTATTAAAATTTATTTATTCTAGGATATGTCATACATTAATTTGAAGTATTCCGAAACAAACAAAATGTTGTTACACATCCACCCGATTGTGTTAGAATCATATGTACTATATTTTTATATCAGCCCAAAAAATAAAGAGCCTGTGTTGGACTGAAACCTTGAGTGGATTACTGGCAGCGTAATTCCCTTTGTTCGTTATCAGAGGTCAAAATTGAAATCCTCCATCCAGCAACGGTTTGAATACAAAATTGGATATTCCGTTATGCACACACATGTCGCTGATTAATTAATCTTGATTAATGCTCGTTTAACATGACAAGAAAAAAGTCAATTGTCCTTAGATTAGGTACTCTAAAATGTTTTCGTAAGTACTTACATAAATGGGACTCGAAGCTGTACCAGCTACCACCTCCACCACAGTCTTTTGCACGTCTGTTTTTAGTAAAAAAATATGAATGTCAAATCAGAAAAATAAGCTATTTTTTGCATTGCTTTGTAAATCAAAATAAGTTGGTAAATTTATGCACAGCTTGTAAATTTTTCTTTTTATTTCGCCGTTATGGCTTCAAGCAGGCGTTGACGATGACGATGTACACAACCTCTTTTGAAGTTCACCTTGTCTTTGGTACAGAACGGCAGACCTTTTAAATTACAAAAAAAACAAGCGCTACTGCACTCTTAGGGAAAACATAACGAATGAAAATGGTTAAAATAAATATTATAGTAAGAGATACGGTAGGTATGTAATTATAAAAATCCCCTCATTTTTTTCACAGACAATTTTTTAAATAACAATTAAGGGCATATTATCAAATATCCCCGTCTCTACTCCATATCAGCCTAAAAGAAAAATTTGCCACTTATATATTTTGACGTGTTCTCTTGATTAGTGCTCGATTTTCGTGAATGACACACACACGAGGGGAAATGATAAAAACTTGACGCAAAGTGAACATTGTTTTACAGTAACGGTCCTGATTTAGCTAGGCAATCCGGTTCTTAATTGTTATTATACAAGTAACATATAAATACTCTCACAATCAAATAACAAATGACGGGATATTATTATTAATAATATCTAAAAATAACAAGATTCACAATGATTGGTGAATCAGCATATAAATAGGCGAGACTTCACGCTGGAAGGTAAATTGAAAAGTATGCGGTTAACGAATTTAAAGATAATTGAAGGAAAATAGAACTCTTGATGTACAATCGTAAGTACTTACCGACTTATGTACATCACCGGAATATATTTGAAATAATATACAAATTTACTCAGCTCAATATATTTTTCAAGTGTTGCGGTGAAAAAACAAAATAAAAATGTCGTATTTATTTTTCATAATGGCCTCATGGCGTTTATAAGTGGCTAGCGGTGAGGTTGCAAACGTATGTGCAACCTCTTTTTAGGTTCCTACCACACGCCGTGTCGACACAGAACATTCCACTATGTATATACTGTGTATATTTCAGAATATTTGTAGTGTACTCATAAGGAAATCAATAAGAAAATGATTAGTAACCACAGATACAGTTAAAGCGGCTTCACCAATAATATTAGCAAAATTAATGTGGTGTAGTGAATTCTACTAATCAAAAATGTTCATATTTTATAGGTCCAACATTTCTTCTATAAATAGGTCTTTAAAGTACTTTTATTTTCTTTTTATAATTAAATTTAATAAGTACTTAATAAAATTGTTTTCAGCAAATATAATGTGTCTTATTTTGTTGTTTATCTGTCATTTTACATATATATGTATATTATATAATCTTATAAGATTTCTGAGCGAGTGGCTCAAGAGGTACCAGAGATAGATTCATTATAAAGAATCATGCGTGTGTGTGAGCACTACTGATTTATTTGTCTTCGAGACTTATTATTTCTGTCACCATGACTATGTTTTGGTTCTACGGAAGTCACCTAATTATCACAGTTCAAATGCGAGTATTATCGCAAGGATTTTCAAGAACAGAAACAGGAGGAAATGGGCATCGTTGCGCGCATAGCCTTAACGTTATTCGTTCCATGATCACGTACATAGGAGATAGGTGACTTTATTCTTATTTTTTCTAAAAGATAATAGTCTCTTTATCAATGCTAATGCAAAATTTATCAAATATAAGAATGAGTTCTATTACAGGTATCGAGAGAATAGTTTCCAGTGTAAACTTGATTGTTTTATTACATTCTAAGATAGAATAAAAACAAAACATTACATTGAACATATAAGTAACTTTAAATTCAATATCGACTATGCTCCTAAACAACACAAATTGTTTACTTTGTAAGATTGATTCTTGTTTCTATGACGTTTTAATTTTATTTAGCCCTTGGTCAAATATTAATAAATGCAAAGTTAAATATTTTTTTAATATAAGAAAACATCTTTATTGTCATATGTTAAGATTCAAAATAACCGACTCTAAAGTCCACATCGAATTTAGTAGGCTCTCAAGGTCAAATCCATTAAAAATAATTTCCGCGTGTTCCATAGCCGTAGTATTATAGTGACACGTTATGTTGGATACTGTGTTTTCCGATATTATATATGTATATCAAATAAATCAATTGATTTAATTTCTTACTGTAAGTATAAAAGTTAAATTTTTATTGTTATTTATTTTTATATTAATCTATAGCAGTCTTGTCTCTAATTTAATGTAATACTATTACTTTGCCAATATGATATTTAATTTTACGTTAAATATTATATTGGCAAAAATATGATTATAAAAGATATTATAATTTTAAATGAGCAGCATATTTTTAAGGTCAAGACAACGTGCAAATATTACACGTTAATTAAATAAATGTACCTATTTTATTATGGTTAATTAAATTAAATATATATTAAAAAATCTAAATAACAGCATCATTCCGAAATAATCCTAAAATAAATATAAACTTTCAATTACATGTCATACATTTTGAAAAAAAACTTCTACTTAATTTATATGTCAATATCATCACTAAATTAATATAAAATAAAAACTAATTTACAATGACATACATTGTTATCTTTTAAGAAGTAATTTATGTATAGTACAATTTGTCAATATAAAAATCAAGCAAATGTTTTCTGAATGTAGTATATTTTAGGGTTTTTATCTGATTAAATACATAGTTAATTATAGATACAGATTGAAATACAGTGTGCGTTATTTTAATTCATTATTAGACTTCGTCTAGGAATACGTAAAATAAGTAATTCAAATTAAGTAAACAATTTTTTTACTAAAGTTGTTATATAATTTGAAAATTGATACTGTTATCTTTCTTACAGATTAGTAATAATACAAAATTGACAATAATATTATAATAAATAATAATAATATAGTACAAAAAAATTAATAGTATAAAATATTATAGTACTAAAAATAATACAATATGCAAACGTCAAAATTGAGACCATTCTATCAATTGGCTGCTGTCACCATCACAAGGTATTTGTATTAACAATATATATATTAAAATATTACTTTTGAATGGTAATTTTGTGTTTTTTTTTATAAATTTTCATTTCGACTGTGACAAAACTCTGAGAAACATGTAGTTTCTCAATTTTAATTATACCTTATTTTAACATTAATTCTTGGTACAATACCAATTGAAAAAATTAGGTACCCTAATATAAAAAGGGTTAATATTACAAAGGAACGACTTGCACTTCTCCAAGGAAACATTAATAAGTTGATGATACGGATAAAAATCGTAAAAAAAGATAAAAATCTCCGCCTAGTTACATATTAAAATGGTATTCCAATGTTGATTTATCTAAAAGTTATAACGTTACAGAACAGCGTCAATAGACACAACAGTTGTGAATTCTACAAATCAATTGAAGGCATGGAAGGACATCCCCGGTCCGTCAAGTCTCCCTATTTTAGGTCAAACGCATCATTTTTTCCCTGGAGGTAAGTATTTTTTAGATTAACTGCCTACAAGTTGTGACTCAATAAAAACTAATGAAGGTCTAATAGAAATAGATAATATTGCTGTTTATTGCAATTTAAGAATTATGGATTAAATTTTGTTATTAGGAGAGTTGTATAGCCTCAGCTTACCGCAATTAGGTGAACATCTTTGTAACAAATATGGACCAATTGTTAGATTTGATGAATTGTGGGGCAAGCCTCTGACTTTATTTTTATTTGACGCTGAACAATCTGCAAAAGTAAGTTTTGTTTAAATTAATTGGAATCAAATTGTCAAACTGAATGATTTCATCAAACATTATAACGCAGTTAACTTTTTAAATATTCGACCTCCTTTCTCTCTCTCTCTACTGGGTAAATTTATTTGATTTCATCCAAACCATACGCTGGAACGAAACAATTTTGATTGGCTATTTTCATTCTATCATTACTTTCACAGTTGCTTCATTCAGAGAATTGGTTGCCCATCAGGCCTGGGTTCAACTCACTAATTTACTACAGGAAGAAATACAAGAGAAGCAATGAAACCGCATGTGACCTTAATGGATTACTCACAGAGTGAGTTGAACTTGTTTATGATTTAGATATCTAAAAATACTATTAAATTTGAATAATATGTACCTGTGTCGTACGAAGCTAACTGATTAATACGAGTATATCTGTTTCACTACTCGGATATCCATTTCATTAAAAAAAAGTAGCATACTTCTCCGTTATGTTCGTATTAGATGACATAAACTATTTTGTGATTATTAAGATTTATTAATATTATAAAAAAAAGAATAATAAATCATCTAATGGTAATCTTTTTATTTATGTTTTGCAGTCACGGTGAACCATGGAAGCAATTCCGCTCGATCGTTAATCCCGTCTTGATGAAGCCGAAGACTATTAAACTTTACAATGCTATGATAGATGAAGTTGCACTGGATATGATTGCCAGGTTTATGTCTATTTAATCAAATGATAATGCAATAATTTGACAATTTTGGTTTCGGTTGCATCATAATTGTAGTTAAGGGTTTATATCAAATTTGACAATATCTGTCGCGTTTTTTGAGGGTGGAATACGTTGCACCATCCTCGTTCTTAAAACAGTGAAACAATAATTTTAATCAACGAAACTTATCCGGTTATAGTATACCTATACTTTGTAGTCTATTTTAAGTTATTATTTCAGGTTGAAGTCTTTACGTGGGAACAATAACAAGATTCAGTCTGATTTTGATATGGAAATGAATCTATGGTCACTGGAATCGATAGCACTAGTTGCTCTTGGACGACGACTTCGATGTTTCGACTCGCATTTACCACAAAACTCTCCTGAAAAGAGACTCATTAAAGTGGTTCATGATATTTTTAAATCAGTTGAAGCATTAGATTTCAAACCCAGTCTATGGAAATATTATCCTACAAAAGCCTATAGACGTGCTATGAAATCATACGAAGAACAAGAAATGTAAGATAAATTTTGTAACTATGTTTCGAAACTTTTCTCTCACCCGTGCGTTGATTTTCATATCAAAAAGGCAGTGAGTTCAGTTTGATTGATTTGCAAACAGACGTAAATACTTTTGCATTCATAATTCTTGGATTCTTTAGCGACATGCATAGATATCCAGAACATAATATATAATTGGTCTACAGAGTAAGAGCATTTGACGAGAAATCTTAAATATATTTAACTTACAAAAACAACTTTGAATTGTTTTGTTAATGACAAAATGTTAAATATAAAAACAAAATTAATGATATAAGTATTTTCAGTTTAGCTAGATATTTTATTGATAAGACCATCGAAGAACTAAATGTACACAAAAGAGTGATCGCTGAAGACAAAAAAAGCGTCCTGGAGAAATTACTTGAAATAAATAAAGATATTGCTGTTGTAATGGCCACTGATGCTCTACTTGCCGGTGTCGATACGGTATTAACAGCTTTTATATGACTTAAAGAAATCGATCGTGTTGTTTCATTAAACATATTTACTAACATTATTTAATTAACAGACATCGAACACGATAATCGGCGCGCTTTACCTACTAGCCAATAATCAAGACAAGCAAGACGCACTCAGAGAAAAAATTAGATCTGTTACTGACGAAAATGAGAAACGACCGTATCTGAAAGCATGCCTGAAAGAATCCATGAGAATGATGCCTATTACTGTTGGAAATGCAAGGGTTTCTACAAAGGAGTATGACATGTTAGGTTACCAAATACCCACCGGCGTAAGTATGAAAACAAAAAGTGTTCTCTTAAGATCTTATGATTTTACTATGAAAAATAATGTATAAACGTACGAATCAACGCGACACCTGAGGTCCTATTATATTTGTCCTAGAACGATAATTCTGAAAACTTCGAATTGTTCTTATAATATTGTTAAAATCATAGGCGTGAAGATTATTTATACACCTGAGACAGTGTCAAGTCCTACCTCCGTTGCATTATAAACAATAGAAAAATTTAAATATTTCTTTGAAGTCTTATTAGCACCTCGAAAATAGCCGAATTTTGTTTTCACATAAATAGAATAGTCATTCAGGTGTCACTGTAAATCGTCCGAGTAGTAGGTACAATAATTTATATTCTTTGATTTAGGTTGAAATTATTATGATGCACCAAACTATGGCTATGATGGAGAAGAATTATCCTCGTCCAACAAAATATATACCAGAAAGATGGCTCGTTAATAAAGATGATCCACTGCATCATGGGAATGCACATCCATTCGCTTATCAGCCTTTCGGGTTTGGAGTGCGAACCTGCATCGGTAAAATATTTAAATAATCTACAACAACCACCATTTTTTATTTTGATTAATTTTGCATTCAAAATGCAATACTGAAAATTATTCTTAATACAAAATGCTTAAAAAATCCACTTGGTCCCTGGCACCCTGAGATGGGAATCGAACCCACGACCATTCGCAATCCGGGCGACTGCTCCAACCACTGAGTTACCCAGGACCTAACAGGACTGACGAATCTTTCAAGCACTTGTTACTTTTCGCTGCCACAGAGCCTATACTTTAAGCATTTTGTATTGAGAATAATACACTATGTTTTTTTGATAAAGTATTATTTAACTATACCCAGTGCATACGCCACCCATATTTTACATTTGTTCAACTTTCCGAATATGTTGTTTAAATTTAGCGCCTTAATAGATGTTTTACATTAAATGCGAATATTAAATGTCAACATCTAGGTTTATATTTTGAAGATGCTGGACGCCTTCAAATATTCCGTGAATTTTTATTATTTTTATATAACCTTTTGTATTATTCTGGTAATATATTATTGATATTTTTCAGGACGTCGTATTGCAGAATTAGAAATGGAAACATTTCTTAAGAGACTAATTGAGAATTTTAAAATAGAATGGTTTGGCCCACCAGCTACCACTAGATCGGCGGGCTTAAACTATGTCAATGGCCCGTATAATTTTATTTTCAAAGATTTATAACGCCACTAGGAACTAAAACACATGTAATTAATTCTACCATAGACTATGGTATAATTCATTACATGTGTTCAAGTTTCTACGTAGGTACGTATTACGTAGATTTTTATTTTCATCACATCATACCTTATTTTCATCACAGATGGACTTGTATGAAAACTTCGCTACTTAAAAATCGGACTTTTATTAACTTTTCTGAACAAAATAAAAAAGACCTCAATCATCACGATTGAATAAACGTTTGAAAATGGTTTGACCGTCATTTGTCGATTGGATTAGATTTCTCTGTTGTATATCCTTTTATCAGCAAAAAACATAAAATAAAAATCTTTCGCCGGACGGAAACCTTGACCGGATTAAGAATGGATTAAGCAGCCGAATTCCTTTTGTATCCGAAGCTTCATCAGAGATCAAAATTGAAAACCAAAAAATAACGATGTGAATGTTACGAAATTGTTTATTTTTCGGCGTCTGTTATGTTATTTCTGTAATGTAAAATTGTTCAAATATATAATAATTTTCATATTTATCGTAAGTTTAAAATATTTGTATAAATAGTGGTGATAATACGCTCTGTAGTGCCTAGCGAAATAGTAACAAGTGCTTGAAAAATTCGATACCTTACCAGGGATAAAATGTTTTTTTTTATGGATTTTTCATAAAAATATAAAATTGTATGTATAAAAAACACGTAAATAAATAAATATGAATGAATAATACAAAGTAATTCAATATAATTATCTGTATTGAATATTCATGCAAACTTTAACTATAAGTAATCATTTATATTCTCATATCCTCCCTTACCCATCCATAACGAAGGCCTGGCGACGTAAATGGGCTGATAATTATGATGATTATTCTCATACATATATCAGATTCTTATAATCCCTCTTTAATAAAAATAGTACTTATACAAAGTGGTAAAAGTCTGCTTAAAAGAATATAACCATTGGCCAACCCAATTTCCAGTTTTAAATTACGTGATTAATAGCATTGCAACATCACTATAACTGTGTTGTAACTATTTAAACCACTGTCTGCTTTCTTTTACACTGTTACTGTCATTTATCAGTTATCCTCAAGGTAAACATTCGTACGATTGATTCATTAACAATATATATAATCAAAACGAATAATAAATATTCTTAAAAGTAGTCACGTTTTATACCTTTGTAACCTTATAGATATTATTTATTTATTTTTCTCATTATGAGTTATCCCAATAAACATAACCATGTTTACATAACCCTGCCACAGTGTTTTTGTGGAGAATTAAATAAGGTTATCTATGCAATGAGGTTATATTCAGTATCCTTTTTCATTGAACCGAGTTTTATACTAAACGCTATGTAATATTTTTTATCTAAAATTTATTCGTTTTAAGCCAGTTGATTGTCAACTGAGGAGTATGATGTTACCTTTGAATTAATATAAGCAAGCATAGTTATGAAAAATATACCTAATAATAAATAGCAATAGTGATGAGACTTTATGTGTAAACTCCTCACAATGCAACTTTTCGTATGATCACTATGCATCGGCTACGAAGGGGTGAGATTTTTTTTATTTTACAGTTGGTATATTGTAACGGAATCTGATTCGGAAGATTTGGTAGCGTGTCTCTTATATCTAAACATGCGTCACCGAAGCTCTGCTCAATTTCTACGGGATGGGGATGTGGTTATATCATTTGTTTTACAATAGATTTTCCTTGTCACGTACGTAAAACTAATTTTCTGTAACCAATGTGTTTGTTCGTCAATTTTCATTTAATCTAAAATATATAAACGAGGCAATTTACTATATCAAAAATATATTATTTGAATATAAAGTTCGTGACATAAATATGCCATCTTATTTTTCGTCACCCACATTATACGTTCAAGCAACACTAAATCCGGGTTTGATCCATCTATATCTTTAATATTCACGCTAGAGAAAATCCATGACATGAATGTAAAACATGATTGATTCAACCATAATTCTTGAGAGAAATTTTATTTAATATTACTGCTATAAATAATGGTTCGGAGAGATGAAAAAGAGCTGAAACACACTTTCATTTTACACTTACAGAAAAAAATCCGATTATTTTAATAAGATATTTTGTGAGTTTCTTTTTTCGGTTCAATAGTTGTAAAATAAAAACACCGTACTGCTCAACATTAAGAACTAATTAACTCGTGTAATAGTTTGCTATTACCGAATTATATATATGTAGGTATTATAAATTATATTAAAGAGTGTCTTATTAATATTAACGAGATTTTGAAATGATAGCTGCCAACTATAATTAAAATCAAATTCTTCATGTGTTTCCTTCATTTCATAAAAAGCTACTGAGAGATATTGTATAAACTGAACAAGACTAGCCAATGCGAACACAGACTATATAGAGATAAATGAGAGAGAGAGTTTTGTGCAAGGAAAAAAAGTAAATAGTAAAAAGTATCAATGAAAATGCTATTTTTAATAGTGAATTGAATATTGATCACAGTAAAAATTCGAATATCACACATTTAGCCATCAATTTTGATGATGCCCCCTATGGTGTATTCACTTACTCATTTATGCCATTAATATGAGTAACGTTTTGTATGCGCTGGGCGTTTTCCCATACATTTTGAGCATTGTCCTTTTTTTAACATCAAATTTTGTTAGACAGGAATTTTTATGATCATTCTGCATTCAACAATGACAATAAAGATGATGTAGTTATTTTATGTATGATTTAATTTTCCACGTCCAATGAAAAGTGTTAAATATTTGTTGGAGCCGAATCCTGGCACTGGGCGATAGATGCAATATTTGAATGGTTCTGTAATAAATATAATTTCTCCCACTTTCTTATATCACGATGGTTTTTTTTTTTGTTTAATATCTCTTCTCATATTTGCAGAATTGTTCTCATGCAAAATAGTTTTAAAATTGAAGTCTCCCCTTTAACCTTTTATTGTCTTTAACGCAAGCAGGCAGGCTAATTCTTCTGAGACTTAAAGTTTTATTCACCTGTCTGCAGACAGGGTGCGATCTGAATTGTAAATATTGAAGCGGCGTCCACGTCTACAAACAAGCTTTGTGATTGTGACTCGGCCGTACACTGAAACGGTGCACTATCCATACATAAACATTTTTCTCTGAATCCCATTTTGATTGCAGATAGTACAAAGAGAATATTTTGGAGTAAAGTCTTTGTCTTTTTCACCAGCCCATCATTTTCTTATCTATCTTATTATTAAGAATAGGAAAGGTTTCATTATTTGTTTGCATTTTCTGATTAAGATTACGATTAGGCTCTGAAAGTACTGTACCGATTTTTTAAATTATTTCACCTACAAGAAGCACCTGTGAGAAGCACTGACATAGACTATAATTTACGAGGATTAACAGTGATCAAAAACTTACCTTTATCAATAAACTCACATTGTGCCATCAAGCTTTGGTGGCTTTAAAATAAAAAAAAAACAGTGAAAATTTAAAAATAGAATTAATAAATAAAATCTAAAAATAATATATAACAACTAGAAAGGCAATTAATAAAGTTATGAAACTAGTTTTACTCGAACGATATTTCAAAATCTGCTTCCAAGAAGAAAAAGCTATTTTATTTTACTGTTTCGGTCGTAAACGAGGTAACTTATTTTATTGATTTATATTCTTTTAAGCTTACGTAAAAATCTCATTACATTTTCGTAATAGATAAAATTCTTATTGAATAATTTACGTAATGTTGAATAATGATTTACCGAGTAAAACATTTTAAAGGTGTGTTGTGTTTTCTATAAGGATAGAAACTTGATAGACATGTCGTTATTTGTCACAATTATTATCTTTCTTACATATAATCCGTATTTAATTTTTTACCAAAGTTGAACACGTTATGTTTCTTGTTTATAGGAGCTACGAGTACTGTGACCTCAAATAGGCTATATGGACTTAACGGATCTACAAAATAGAATTCGCCGTAGTCTAAATTGCGACTGCGTATAAATAAGATCAGTCGCTTTCATCCCTTTTACAGATAGTGCTAGTGGTTCGAGATTATAATCTTATCTGTAACTGCAAATCGAGTAATAGATCTGTTTATGGTTTAGAAAATGTTCAATCTAAATTATAATTTATTTATTGGACACTTAACCAGTGCAGTAAGACAATAAAGAAACAATAAGAAAGTCTTTTCTTAACTTACGTAAACTTTATTTACAAATATATTGATGAAATGAACGAAATAATTAAATTATAAATTATATGTATTTATATAGGCTCCGTATACTATCATAAATTTATTTATTATCTTTCTTTATGGCGCCGATGTTAGCATGTTCAAGCGCGCGTTAAGTTAAGCAATTAAGGAATCATTGCTTCGAAAGGCATGTTAAACCGTTGGTCCCAGCTGCAATTGCAGAAGTTGACACTCACTATTCCGCATTGGGTCTACGTGGTATAATGGCCCATTCACTCTTTAGGATTCGTTTTGGAGTGAGGACATTAATAATGGAGACACTAAATCTGGTGATGATGACTTCCATAAGAACTGGACCACTATAACCATCGATAATCAACACGTACCTAACAGTTAGAAGTCTTATGATTAGAAAAGGCAAATTAAACATAAAGTAAAAAGTCCCCAATTCGATTTTAATGCAATGATTATCGCTGCCTAAATTTTATCATTGAGCTTCCGAAAATCATTATACCACCAGTAAGGACTTCCGTACACATCTACCGAGTCGTGGTCTCAGATATCATAATTTTACAAAAGTTTTTGCATTGTTGATAAAATATCATATAAACTAATTTATTATAAACTTACTTACTTATTCACTTAAAATAGATTCGATTCGAATCAAGATTGCGAAAGCAATTAAGGTTTTCATCCAACGAAATTGAATAAACGCAAACAAACTGTTGTAGAGTAACTATGAAGCCGCATATAACTTTTAATAAATGTTATATAGTAGCTGTGTGCGGAATACAATTTTAGCGAAACGTTTGTATGC